GCATTGTCCAAACTGTCCAGGATTATTTTTTAGCATTTGCGTCAGTAGCCTTACTGGCATCCATAATTGGGCCATCCCACTGTCTAATGGTCAGGCTTAGCGAAACGAGTAGATAGCCGAGAGCCTGAGACTTTCCTTTAGCTTGTGCGGGTAAAGTGCTCTATTAGCAATCGATCCGGTGTCTATGTCGGATTCCATAGCGCCAATGCAGGAATTTTCGCTATAGTGCTTTCAAAGGGCATGCCCTTGGGAGGGGGCAGTGCATGCCTCAAGATCGTTTGCTGTCAAACGAAACCGGAACCATTATCAGTTGTATTCTTATATGAACACGCCTGTTTCGAGGGACCCACGTAACATTTTTGGTTTTTTAATGGTCGCAGTTTCTGGCTGTTAATTGGCCTCTTCAATGGTATCAGCTTAATATTGTTCTTTTACGCTTAGGTTTGTTCAACCAAAGATGCTGCCTTGCCAGCATATTTTCTGCACTCCCTGCATTACACGGATGACTCAACGCGACAATTGCCCTGTGTGCCGCAAGCATTTCCTGCCTCATCATGTTCGGTCATGTTTGCTCCTCAACAACTTGCTTGAATTAGCTTCTAAACATCCGTCCCTCGCGGTCCCTCGGGAGCCATCTCCGCCACCAGCGCCGCGTCCGGCAACTTCTGCAGCGGTCTTTGACGACCAGTACACGGTAAGTATTTGGGAGCTTCTCTCCATTTTAGATGTGCTCCATGGGTGTGACTCTCATGACTGGCAAGGCGATAGTCCTAAGTTGCTAAATGGCCCTCCGTTATCCGCACCAGTATTTTTAGTGGTTGTAAGGAGTGTTATTACTGTCAATTCACTTATGGGTTGAGCACGCTTGCGATCTAAGTTTTCGGTCGTGCCTAAACTGCAGTTAATTGCGTCATTCTAAAGAGATTTCCTCCAACAATTATGTCACCGGATGTTGGGCCGGCATCAGTAAGTGGACTTTTTTGTTGTTTCGTCGTTCGGCGTCCAACTTGAACGAAAGCTTGTCCAATAT